AAAACTGAACCGTACCCTGGGGCACTTGACCTGACCTCAGAGGTCACCGGTTGACCTAGGACCTTAAAATCGGGTACCAATCTCTGCGTCTCGTAACGGCGCACACGCTCTTTTTTCCGCGACGCGCTACCTCCACCAGGGGCGAAACGGCGAGGGGGGGGTCGTACCCGCCCCCCCCCCCCTCGGCCGGCGCGTATGTAGAAAACCAATAGGTCCGGCGAGGGTTAAGCTACGTATCCGCTCGTATCAGCGTTTGAACATGCGAGGTCATTGACCTTGGTCAGTATAACAATGTTAACCCGCGCGGGGCTGGGGTCTCCAGCCGAACGCGCGGGGCTGGGGGGGGGGGGGTAAATTTTACCCCCCCCCCCCCCCTGTTATCTCCCGAACTAACGGTCCGATTTGGAAAATTCAAACGCCAATCGAAAGCTCTCATCACCAACTACTAAAAACATGTACTTAATTTAAAGTTTGAGGTCAAGGTCAAGGTCAGGTCAAGGGTACAAATTGCAAGTTTCTACAGTATCGGCCTTGCACCGTAGTTGCCGAAGAATGGAGTCATGGACTGAGACTGATCGCCCAAAACGTGTTCTTAGGCTACCAAGACAATATTTGTTGCATACAATATCATTCAGAGGTCAAGGTCAAGGTCAGGTCAGGTCAGGTCAGGTCACCAAAAAACAAAATATAGAAAAGGGCATGTGCGACACATGTTTTATGGGTCATTTTACTCATAGAATTCAATAGACACACTCAATAAGTGATATGGACCACCTCTGGATGAATTTCAGGTCGAGGTCAGGTCAAGGTCAGGTCAAGTGAGGTCAAATTTTGAAGTTGGTTGTTAAGGCCTAAAAAGGTGTCTATCTGATGCAGTTTTTCACGGCGAATCGAATGGTGCTATTTTTGTTTCCGTACGAGGTCTAGAACTTCCAAAAAAGTCATTTTTCAAAAAATTTGTGTGTCGTGACGTCATAAAATTTTGAATAACTCCCACATTTTTGAACCGATTCTTCTAAAATTTGGTATGTAGGTGCACATAGACCACTTCTCTGACATATATTCCGGTTTTTTCGATAGACTCAAAATTTTGGATTTTATAATGATTTTCCCAAAAAAGTCAGTTTTTTGAAAAAATTTAGGCCAAAATCCAAAATTTTCAAAAAACCGAGATAGCCATTTGATAGACAAAGTGAAATTACGTATAACCTTTTTTGTTACGTCTTGATTCCTTTAAAAATGAAGATGTTAGCGGCGTTTGAACTTTTGCCGTTTTTGAGGCGAAAATGACGAACATGACGTCACTAAAACGTCAATTTCTCAAAAATTTTCCGACGGATTTCGCTCAAATTTTCAGGGAACGTGTCAAATTGATGTAAGAAAAGGTACTGAAAGTTTGGCGGCGCTGCGCGCCGCCGTTTTTGAGATATCGCAAAAATTCGCGAGGGGGGTAAAATTTACCCCCCCCCCCCCAGCCCCGCGCGTTAAGTTACATGTCCAGTCAAATACTGAGTGACATAATCACACGGTAGGTATAGTTTTGCTGATTGGTCTTGTCGATGAAATCATGTCCAGTTTCGGTAGGTATGTACGATTTTGTCAAAAACGGTTGGAGCTGTGCCTATAATGACGTAATAACTTGGTGACCTGACAGCTGACATGACCCGAAAATTCTTTTTAACCAAAAGTTGCGCAAAGGAGACCCCAGAAGCTGTTGAAAATTACAGCACGATCCGACTTATAGTTCGGCGCGTATCGTAAAAAACCTCAGTTGGGAGGGGGTCGCATCGACCGCCCCCCCCCCCCCCCTGCCAAGGCGAGGGTTAAATTCACAAAGGAAAAAGACGGAATAGCACCTTTAGGCCATGGACATTGGACGTGTCCGATACGGTGAAACGGGTCAGGCGGACCGGGTAGGTAAACTATATACCTAGTAACTATATACCCTGGGTAAACTTAGAGACTGCGGGATGGGCGGTTTAGCGCTCGTGACGGTCATGCTGAACGCCAGGAACGAATAAAAATACTTAACCTATCAAATCAATTCCTCAGCACCCACCAGTTGCCTGCACAAGAGTGAACGTCGTCCGTCATCCCAGCCACTGGCAGATCCAGAATGGTGGTCTTGGACGCTGCGGGGGCATACCCCCCAAAAATCTCATTTCCAAAAACTCCCCGGATTTCGATTCCTTACGCACAGTGATGAGTAGCTGAAAACAAGCTTTTTCAAACACAAGTTTTTATTTTCTTCTTATTTTCGAAAAAACGTAAAATTTTGTCGATATCGGGGGCCGCGGTGGGAGCATTTGCTCCCTTCATCCACCAGTGGCAGTGGCAGAACGAGTAACGAATGCATAGCGCAGGACGACGCACTGGCCTAAATGAATGAATTTTTGGTGCGCGGGCCGTGCGTCGTGTATGTGTGACCGGGGCTTAAGCCAAGCTGCAAACTTGGCTATCTCAACTCAAATCTAATGTAAAGGTGGGATAGTCCCTTTAAGGAGACTGTGAATTGTGATCGAGAATGGGTGGTTTTAGGATGAAATGGACGCATAGCGCTAACTTGAAACGATTCCTAAGATGTATGTTCATACGAAGCATGTTGTATGGAATGAAAAAAAAACATGAGTCACCTGCAATAATTGCATCAATTGAATATGAGATTACGGTGCAGGTCGATCCTTTTCCTGAGACTCAAACTTCAAATGAAAGTCACTGGTGACTTCAGTTTCAAAAATTTATCGCATAGCTGTATGCTGCTATCTGACACCGGCTTCGGCCGTACCCAAGACCAGTTACCTAGCATTATCATTCATCGCTATGCCTACTTTGTAAATGTTGGACAATGAGTTACGCCTCATCCATAGACCGCATACCGCCACTCATCGCCTATGATCTGCCGCGCGAACTGGCTCCTACCTCTGTCGCGTAACACACACGAGTCTCTCGGCGCTCATTGGCGGCGGTCTTAGTATGACGTCATGACGGCAACGGGCCAACCTATCAGAGCATCGAGAGTTTTCCCGACTGTGATCGTCAGTTCCCAGCCGTGAATGACTCTAGTACGGTAGCGTGACGTCACCCGTGCTCCCGATCTTTCTCAGCCACTCCAGGCACTAACGCGTCGGCTCAGGCTGATATAACCGGCGGATGAGAATGCTGTGCAGCAGAACTTACCGTGAAGGAGAAGGGGAAGCGTCCGTTGTAGCGATACAAGCGAACATGCCTGTCACGTTTTTCGTCGAGCCGTGTCGGCTGCCGTCGTGGAGCCCCTGGAGCGAGTGGCTCGAGTCCGGAGCCCGTCGGGAGCCGCGCTGTCTCTGGCTGCGGCGGCCCGCTCTGAAGAGGGGTCTCGAGCTGCCGCCGCAGCTGCAGGGACCGGGCGGTAAGCGGGTGTGCTGCCGGCCCGCCGCAGAGTCCTACCGGCAGGTGGTCGACGTGGCCGGCTACCGTCCGGACGAGGTGCGCGTCCGGCTGTCGGCCGACGGCCAGGTCACCGTGTCCGCCTGCCATCGCGAGCGCTCCGACACCGGCTTCAACCACAGCAGGATGGTGCGCCGGCTGAGTCTGCCGCAGCACGTGCGGGCCGACCAGCTCAGCTCGCGCTGGACGCCGGCCGGCCAGCTGGTGCTGGAGGCGCCGGCCGCCGAACTCAACGAGAGGTGCGGTCGGTGCCCCCATGACCAGCGGAAGGTCATGGTGGTGCCCGTCACCTACGATACTCCGGCCGTCAAAGAAGGACAGGAAAAGACCGCTGAGGAGGGTGAGAAGACTGAGGAGAGCCGTACTGAGAAGACTTGCACCGATCAGGAGGAGGTCCAAGAGGAGCAGGCGCAGGAAGAGGAAGCTGAACAGTCTGATGGACTTGACGTGGCTGTAGATGTTGAAGCGGCTGCTGAAGATGAAGAGAATCCGGAGATGAGCTCAGAGAGCGCGGAGAACCTCGCAGAGAAATCTCAGGACGATGTCTTCGAGCCAGCTGAGGCAGCGCCTGCCGAGCCCGCTCCCTCCGCCGCTGCTGCCGATGAGCCAGCCGAGGTCGTTGACCTGGAGGCCGAGGCGGCCGCCCGGCAGGAGGAGGAGACCGTGCCGGTGGCGGTGCGGTCCGGGTCGCCGGCCTCCGAGTGTGGCCAGAGTAGCGTGCTGGCCTCGGTGGACGTGAGCAGCTTCCTTCCGGAGGAGGTGGAGGTGCGCGTCAGCGGCCGCCACCTGGCCATCGAGGCCGTGCACGAGGAGACGGCCGGGGACGGCGGCAGCTGCCAGCTGCGGCTGGCGCGCCGGCTGCCGCTGCCGACACACGTCGACCCGGACCTGGTCACGTGCCGGCTGACCCGGACCGGCCAGCTGCTGCTCGAGGCGCCCGTCACCCCGGCGCCCGGCGCGTGATGCCAAGCGAATCTTTGGTGACGAAAGGTGTTAGTTCTGAATGAATTTTGCGTGATATTTATCAGCGGTGTTCGTGTGTGCTATTGCTCATTGTGTGCACGGTGGTATCTGAAAAGCTGTGTGGTGTTAGACTGCACAATGGATGAGATAACACCATGGATGGATGGACCATGGTGAGGGTATTATTTCATCCATGACTGCACATTCCAAGACCGCCAAGACGTAACATGTGGCTGTAAACTGAACGATGTCCAGTGAACATTCCATTACATATTTCACACGGGCATTGTAACATTAACGGGTGTGTCTTACAGCTGCACTCTGGTATATTCCGCGAATCTTAAATGCTTTGCTTTGCATTTATAAATTGTAGAGATGTCACGACTTTCGGGTTATATAAAGAAAAAATACAGGCCTGAATGACATTTTTTGGCTTGGTTTTGTTTTTACTGTGTAATGACTCTGGAGATCTGCAGTTTACACTGACAGTGAGCTCCTTGTCAGTTGTCGTTCATATATGTAGGCAGGGCCTTCACTAAATCTTAGCATTCCTCGGGGATGCTTGCTGCAGAGGGGACTTCAAAGCTTACAAACAACCATTAAGATTCCGCAGGTTATGGTGAGAAAATATGTATGTACACACACAGGAAATACGCATCAGCACTCGGTTAAATAAAATGTCGAATTTCTCGATGCCGGAGTAAGAACGAAAAATGAACGGTCAACTAAAAAAAGGAGGCACATAAATGCTCGCACAATGAACATCTTTTGAAAGCATGTATCTGCATACAGATAGGAACTGATTCGAGCACTATAATCATACTTTACCATTGGGCCAAGCCCATTCGACCTCTCAGCGAAACTAATGTACCACGAGCCAACCACTTCAATGCGTTCATTGGTGTTCACTGTTCATCATGATATTCATATTGCTGAATGCAGAGGTCAAACGACGTCCGCATAACAACGACGACATAAGAAAAACAACGACATAAGAAAATACACCACCGCTGAAAATAAACCACGCCACAACTGTCCACATTTAATGCATCTCATACCGAATCACGTTGAGCTCCAGGCTCCTCTACTGATCTTCTGCTTCTTTCTCGACCCTTCCTGCTCCGGTACGTGACTGGTTCCTCCGGTTCTGGCCTGGTGATCTTCACGCAGGTCTGCAGCTCAAAGTCGTCGATCTCTTCATAAATAGACATCCGGAATCGCACGCCGTACTGCCTCTGTAACGAGAACATCAGTGTCATTATTCAGCAATCACTTCAGTAGCCGTATCAGAATCAGTAGCGCTGTCGGCCAATATCCACCCGTAGCTTCACAGACAGAGCTGCAGAGAGTGGGGGTGGGGAGGGGGGGGGGGCACCATCGTCGATGGCTCAGCGTCGAATGAGGTCAGATGGGAGAGGAAGTGCGTCGGTACGGAGGGGTGGGGGGACGATGGTATGACGGCTGACACAGCTCGCACTTTGCACGTCAAACGGGCAAGTAGCACACGGATAACGAACAATGAAACACGTTTTTTACTGAGTGTTTGCCGGCAACGATTTCCCGAAAGCATACACGGCTCGTCGTTTATTGCAAGTGTGCCTTTTGCCGATCATTAACTACTTGCGCTCCATCAGCTCTGTGGCGATTGTCGTGCTTGCAATTAGCAGCACATCCTCCATAACATCGTCCTTGGTTTCGGCTCACCTTCAGTAAATTGGGGCAGTTGGCAATTAACTTTTCGAAGTGGTCTCTCGTGAACCGGAACCGCCGAAAGTCGATCCTTCTCAGAGACGAGCAGTATTCGGCTGAAAAACGTTACAGTGGATGCCGTGAGATAACTGAAACTGGTATTATATGATGTGTTTATTGATTACGTATAGGTTGAGATTTACTGTTTTTGCTTAAGCCCAAAAGAGACATGTTGGAACTAAGATGCCGCTCAAAGGTGTGGCAACTTGCTTAAAGTACTTCGGCTATTTTATTGTAAACTGCATGTTTTATTTGACTATTTTAGAGACTTATCAATTATTAACCTTCCAGGCGGTGGGGGGGGGGCAATTTTTTGCCCCCCCTTTAGTTTTTTCGATATATCTCGAGAACCGCTGCGCCGATCGTCACCAAACTTTCAGTACCCTCCCGGGAGCAGCTAGCGCACATGGTGACCAAAAATTTTTCCAAAGGCTACGATAGGTTGGCCGCTATGACGTCAGAGTGACGTCATTTTTGCCATTTTCGACCCAAAAAAAGGTTTCGCGGGAAGAGCTGTCAGGCCTACAGCTTTAGAGATACATAAAAATGTTTTAGACATAAAAGGTGTGAAATTGACAGGGCTACAAAACTGCTATCTCGGTTTTTCGAATTTTTTGGATTTTGACCCCCAAAAATAAAAAAATAGATTTTTTGAATATAATAGCCAAAAAATCCAAAAAGTTTTTTGAATTTCGAAAAAAGCGGAATATATGTGATAGCCCCTACCGCCTTCTATCTACATACCAAATTTAAGATCGATACCTCTTTTTTGGCCAAGTTATAGCGAAAAAACTGTTCAAAATTGATGACGTCAAATTTTCAAACTCGATTTTTAGCAATTCTAGACCTCGTAGCGCAAAACAAAGACCACCATTAGACTCCCCGTGACGAGCTGCATCGAATCGATACCCATTTTATGCAAAAATATCAACTTTGAAATTTGACCTTTTTTGACCTGACCTTGACCTGACCTCCACCAGAAAGTGACCTAAACCGTACCTGATGGTCTTATAACCAACACCATTGAGTTGGAAATGAAAAACTGGCCATAAAACATGCATCGCATAACCTTAGTAAAGTTGGGCTCATGTGGTGACCCTTGGTGACCTTTGGTGACCTGACCTGTGACCTGACCTGGTATGACCAGTGACCTCTAATAGCAACATATGTACTAGACAACTGGCGCCTTATCGCTGATTTTCGACAAAATGCGTTTTACTCGGTGTTATAGCGCTTTCCCTAGAAGCCCCGTGAACGGTGAAACATTTTATCTTTGACCTGACCTGCGACGTCATCGGTGACCCCGAGGTCAATGAAATTTGGTTTCCTTCGACAAATTTGACAGGGCTATCGAACACCGTTTGAATTTTCCGGATCCGTCCAGTAGTTTCGGAGATACGGGGGGGGCAAAAAAGTGCCCCCCCCACCGCGCGGAAGGTGGCTGGTAGGCCCACCGCCTGCCGGGTTAAACACGAATTATTAACTTCACAGTTCACGGCAACAATAAAAGTACCACATCATTAGCCGTTGACCGTCTGGTCACGCACATTCCCAATCAGTACGGTCGGTTCTTCCAAACCAATTCACAGAAGCTGACTCTATTTGGTCCCTATCTCGCGCCGCGTTTTACCAGTCGAGTTCGGTCATCAGTCCGCCGCAGCGAGCGCCCATCGACCCCGCGCCGGCTCCACTGACCAATAACGCCCAGCGATAACGCCCACTGACCTATAACGCCCAGTGAGAGCGGCTGGCACTCGGGTGTAACGCGTCCCAGGTTGATGGTCTGCAGCAGCGGCATGTTGGACACCATCCAGGCCAGCTTGGCGTCGTCGATGACGGCCGGGAGACTCTTGTCGGTGTACATCAGGGTGCGGAAGTGTCTTCGTCGCACCTCGGCCCCGGCGACGCTGTACAGCCGGGGACTGGCTGCGGAAGGGAACATCGCTGGTTGGGAGAGGGGCGGCTGCCGTGCGAGTGTATTTTATTACACCGATAGCCGGCTGCATAAGGGAGCGGACCTATCGGAGCGGAACAATTGATCGTCTATAAGACGTGGGTTCGTAACCCCAAACACAACTGTGACATGCCAGACGCGCTAATTTCGAGGCCCTGTAATTCATATATAAATTCAATAAAACGGATGACAATAAGCTCAATTAAAAATTAACTAAACGTCGGACTTCTGTTGATGCTGCAGTCTGTAACCCTAAACCGATTGAAAGGACACGCGAAGAAAATTGTTATTACACCCACCCTTAGCAAAAGCCAGCGTGAGAGCACCGATTAGCTACTCCTACATCTAGGCATTACATTACAAACAATAATATACATATTTATTACATACCCATTCGGATTGCATAGAGGTCATCAATTGCTAGGAACCTCATAATCCTGAACAACATTTCCGTAGGCAGATCTTCCAGCACCAAATCGGGCTCATCTTTTGTTAGAATGAATGGCTTCCTGATAATCTTCTCAGGTGCTTTTCGTCGCCCCATTATGCCGATCAGCGAAAGCCGAGCATCGCACTTTAGCTGTCAAAAGGCGAAGGGAGTTGGACGAAATAGAATATAAAATGAGCGAAACAGAAATGTAAAATGACAAATTGTTATAAATAGGTACTGCAAAATAATAAGACAAAATAAACAGCTATTATTTGCATGCATGGTTGCATTCGATACTTTTGCAATATCAATGAATTTCTCAACAATCGGAATATAAAAATTGGATACAATAATATAACAAGAAATATAATAAAATAACTAGCACCATGCGATTTGTCGTGAACAATTGCATCAGGTAGAACATTTTTTTCTTAAAGCCCTTAGCCCACCCTCAAAATTTGACCTCAGTACTGACATTGACCTAACTTAGACCTTGTTGCCGCCGCGCAGCGGATCACCTTGTTACGTCGCGCGTGTGACATTATCACGAGATTATGAAATGTGATGTATTTTTTGCATTTTTGGAAAACGAGTTTGTGAACTTGTGTGCTTCGAAAATATTCGTTACATGTTTTCGCATTTCGTACTTGAATTAAGTGATCGACTCGCCTTGCTCGTTTTATATCATTCATCTGTCATTCATTCACATTCATTCTCGTCTCGTCGTTTCCTGCTCGCTTCATGCGTCAGTTCTAAGTCATCTATCTCAATAATTTCCAGCATAATATAAATACCTATCAGTCGTTAATCGTTTCGTCTAACGTTTGGTCCTCCGGTTCGTCGTCGTTCGCCGTAACAGACCTGAACTTCAACCAATTATGGTCAATATCAAGCTATTTGAATGGGTATGGTCATTGAGTTCTGTGAGTAAAATGAGTCGTAAAACATAAGTCGCACATATCCTCTTAAATAGGTCGGCTTTGGTGATTTGAGCTGTCCTTGACTTTGGACTTTTGATGAGGTTTTATGTAGGTACCGCACCGCGCCTTGTGTTGATAGCATAATAACGTTTTCTGAAGTATCAATCTCAATCTATTATTCCCCAACTCAGCTCCTCAGCCAATAATGTATTGAAACCTGTACTTTTTGCTCTTGACCTTACCTTGACCTGACCTTTGGTACAGGTACAGCGTTCATCCGAGCCCGCCTGACCTTCTATCTCTTTCTTTTCTTCGTAGGAGCAGGGGCGAACACAGCCATAATGATCGTGTGATAATGGGTTTATCGTCTATTGTTTCGAATATGCAATGGCAAATACATACCTATGTCGCTTCGTAACAGCAGACCCACACCAACAAACCGCAGTAAACTTCCCATTCCTTACCTGTCACGAACGAGCAGTTCCTTCGAGTTCTCACAAATCGCCAAATGAGCGACCACCACGGCCGGCGAGCATTCACAACAGTATTTAAGTACCTCACAACCTCCGTCGCGCGCGGACGGGGTCGACCCTCGCGGCAGGACCGCGCGCGACTGTGACGGTGGCCCTCCCCTCTCCCTCCCCTTCCCCTCCCCCGTCTCCCCTCCGTGCCGCCGGCCGGTCCTGTTTTCGTCCATTTCTGCCGACCTATGACCATAGTCACACGAAGGGCAGAGGTGCAAATTTCGTACCAACGTTGAGAGAGCAGTCAGCCGGTACATATGTGGACGGGATACCTAAATTGTGGTAAATGTGGTTAGGCAGGCGCTCAGACGCCAGCGGGGATTCATTCGGGTGCCTCCATTCATGGAGAAGGATAAGGATTTGTCTTAGTACATTCTCTAAAGACAGTGCCAAACCCCAATCTGTGACACTCATATTATCGTCCTATGCGAGAGAATAACTACTTCACGTCTGCTATATGAATGCACAATGTCATTAAGAAAGGTGTTATGGCAGTTTGAGAGTGCGAGTTGATTAGATATGCCTCTGCGAACGTTGTGATATGTGTCTTTGATAGCACTACTTTGCCTTTTGTTATTGTTTTGCATAATAGGTACCTTCCTACTAATTCCTCTTTCAATGCCTTTATAATTTCATACCTACATAGAACGATTTATAAGTCATCCTTCATCACACAGAGGAATGTTTCATATACTTAAGTGCTCCAGCGCTCTCATACTGCTGAGGTAATTAACTACTTATAAGTAGGCTTATGTTATATAATGTTGTGCATTACTGTAATCGTACTACTTCATAACACCATATTTTCATTATACGACTCTGGATACTCAAAGTTCATGATACGGCTTACAAGGAAGTATAGATTTGTCATGTCACTTCTTTGCTTCCTCGCTCACTTCTGGTCACTTCTTCGCTCAGATTCATTTTTCTACGCATTTCACTGAATTCAACTCAGTGTCTCAGATGATGTAACAATTGTCCAGTATGCAGATGATACACAGCTGTTGGTCAGCGGAAAGAAACGTGACGTGCAGCGAATGCATGGCCTGTATGGAGAACGCCTTACACCGTATGTATCAATGGTTTTGTGCTAACGGCATGATGCTTAACACAGCTAAGACACAAATGGTCGTATTAGGTACGCCAGCGATGCTGCGCGACCTGCCCTTAGTCTCCCTTCACTTTTGTGGCACTGTTGTTGCTGAGTCGCGAGCCGCCAAGAACCTGGGTGTTTACGTTGACCGCCATCTCAACTATGAAACGCACATCGACAATGTAACTAAAGTGCACGGGCATTCTTATTGCTCTGACTCATGCACGTCACGTGATCCCAAGAGTGACACTGAAATGCATTGTCGAGGCACTTGTCCTTTCCGTGTTACGGTATTGTTTGTCAGTGTATGGTTCGTGTGGCATGACGCAGCTTCGACGTGTACAAAAACTTGTCAACTTCTGCGTTCGAGTAGTGACGGGCAAGAGGTGATATGACCATGTATCTCAGTCCCTGGAACAACTGCAGTGGCTCACTGCTGAACAGCTTGTGATATATCACACTGTGTGTGCGGTCGAGCGGGTTATAGTTTCAGGGCAGCCTGAAAGCATCATGGCGACTATTGGTCTGCGGGCTGATCAGCGCCACAGCCATAACACGAGGCAGGCCAGCCTGTACACGCTCCCGACTATCCGAACTGAGGCAGGGAGGAGACGGCTGTGCTACCGAGGAGTAGGGCTACTGAACAGTGTCGGTGTGGAGCCCGGAACGTGCGGGTTCCGTTCTGCGGTCAGACGCGCTGTTAAGTCGCAGTAGGGTATACCTGACTTCATCATGTGCGTGATTGTAGCTGCCAGCTGGTATGTCTGATTCGCCGTGTCCACAAAGTTTTAATTCGCTTACGTGAACTAGTGAAAAGCCATTGTTTTATAATGGATCTTGTTCGAATACATCTATCTATCTATCTATCTATCAACGTGTTCGATAGAAACTTGACTCCGATGAAAACATGTCGATATAGGGGAAGTTGGGGGAATGCCGAATACTTTTTTTCTGACGCCCGTAGCACGCAAGGTAGACAACATAAGCTATTCTTGTTGGCGTCATTCGAGAGGCCAGTCTTTTGCCTTTCAAACATACCAGGCGCATTTGATGAATTCGCATACCGTTAAGCGCACAAACTAAAAATATCAAAGAAGTGATTTTTTCGGCGTTGCCCCGGACTGCGGGGAAAGCCGAAAATGGCAGAAATGATCTACGGGGAATGCCGACATTGATGTTTTGCCACTTTATCTCAAACTTTATCCAGAATTTATCAAAGCTGACACGCGTTTTAAGAGCTTGAGGAGTAGGACGCTTGGTGCACACTGGAAGTTATAATTGTGTGATATAATAGGAAAATGCCAGGTAAATAATTCCTAATAGGTAACAGGCCGTTGTGTCGGTTGAAAGTGTAATTTGTGTGACTAAAAATTCGCGTTGCTATTCTACAGCAGTAAAGTCCACGTAGCGTGCTTTAACGTGCGTAATTGCACGTTTTCGGCATTACCCCAGCCAGCCATACTTTCATTTGCAGGCCCATAACTTTTCAACGTGCCGTATAAATTTCAAATAGGCAGCACACTTATGCAAAGACATGCTGAAGATTACTTGACCGAATTGGCCAGACAAACGGTAGGATAATGAGTAAGAAATGCAGCTTCAAAGGCGCATGTAGTACAAGGAACGCGTACCTTGAAAACGCTCTTGGCGCCCTCACAGCCGAAGTATTCCGAATGACGACTCGTAACAAACATGCGATAATTGTAGTCACTTAAGTTTCAGAGCATCACTGACAGGTGGCATCCATGTCTTACGGTTTTCGAAATATCTCGAATTTCGGCTGTGCCCCAACTCCGGCATTGCCCCAACTTCCCCTACCTTATACTGCTTGTCGTAGTAACCGAAGGTTTGTTGTCAATAGCTAAAACACTATTCTTTAGAATTGTGTTTTTCTATTGAAAAACAAATCTGAGTTCCCTGATAAATGTATGTAGGAACCATACAAGCACGTCGCTACTCGCTCATGTTACTGTTAAGTTGTAATGAATGATTCTTTACTCACTGCCTTTATGTTGTTATTTGAGGCTTATTAGGGCCTTGGATCCGTAATTAATTTTAATTAATGTCTGAAAAACATATATAGCTACCGCATAAATAGGGGAGACCGGGGTTAGTTGGGCCAGTTTTTACTTGAAGCGTAATATTTTCGGTATAGGGTGAATAGGTCAAAAACGCCCCCCTTAAGCGCGAAACCTTCTGACACTCACCCAACACAGATTACTTAAACCTTTGGGCACCATCATGTAGCTCATTCTTTTTACTACGCTTTGAGACCAAGAAAAGACACCTGCGTGTGGTATTTAACCCCCCCAAAAAGGTTTTCGCATACTCTTACAAAAGGGCGTTTTGCCCCATACCCTGGGTAATACGCCCACACCCATGTGCAAAGCGCCCCCACCCCATCCATCAACACAAAATGATGAACATGGCAGAACTTGACGTCATTCTGACGTCATTTGTGGTCAACCTATCATAGCCTTTGGAACAAAATTTTGTTGCAATGTGTAAAATCGATGCCCGGAGGAGTCCTGAAAGTTTGGTGACGATATCTGCAGTCGTTTAGGATATATCAGCAAAAAAGGACAGGGAGAGGCCTTTTCGGCCCCGACCTACAGGGCGCTACCCTGCACTCTCACCACCGTGCAAAACGCCCCCCTTTCAGAAAACTGGGGGCGTCTTGCCCCATGCATCGAGTAGGCGTCTTGCCCCATCCACTCCATTTCCGGTCAACAAAATATTGACAAAAAACGCGCCACTAACGCCGCAGCATAATACGTTCAACAGAATGACAATAAAACGCAGTTTTGAGTGATGTGCACAATAGCAAGTTTTGTGATATAAAGAGGGCATCAAAATGTTAGGAATCTTCTGTAAAAACAACAAAAACAACACCCAAAACCAACATCAGCACCTACCCACGCTGCTCCTCAAGACGCAGAACCGGAAATAGAGACCTTGACGTAAACAAGCAGCTGACTGTTCTGAAAGACAGGATAAAACACGTATCCGTCGATAAGAAATACGATTTTTTAGGGGAGGCGTTTAACCCAGGGGTGCGTCTTCCCCACAGTTACCCTAACTATACATATCATTGTTTGTTGGCTACTGAGAGCTTATTTCTTTATCTTTTAAATAAGACTTAATATAAGAGAGATGATAGTATCGTCTTGGTGTCATATCTGATCAAAACGACCATGTCCTCCAATGTCCCAACTCACCCCGCGGGCGGGGTGAGTTGGGCCAGGGGTTGGGGCATGTTGGTGCACTAGGAAAACAGTTTATCTAAACACATTTTTATTCATGTTTCACATGAACAGTCATCGCTAAACCATGCGGGCATGTTTATCAACATTTAATGACAAAACGCAAACGTTTGCAGTGCTCCTGCGGCAAACAAGAACATACACACGCAAAATGTGTATGACCAGCTTCAGATGCTTTTACAAAATGCACCACCAAGTAGCTACCAACCCCACTCATTCGCTCTCCGAGTAACAGTTTTGACAGATGAAGACTCTGCTGCCCCCTGTGCATAGCGTATGTGCCCAATCTTCACACTGCAAGCATTTCTCAATCGACTTGCTGTTGACAAACTTTCGCAACTTGCCCCACATCAACCTGGCCCAACTAACCCCGAAGCGCCATTTTTATTTTGGAGCCACGTGACCAATTCACAATGATTTGGCCGATTTGGCGAAGAACGGTTGAGACTTGAGAGTGTAGGACGTAGGTACTCATAGCCAAAATGTCCGCAGATCTCTCAGGCATAGCGAATTTGCAATGTTTCCACTATCAATGGAACTAGAACTTAGAAGAGAATATTTTCAAAGCAAGAAAATCATTTTCAGTAATCAGTACATACCTGAAAACACATTTTTAGCGATTATTTACAGCACTTACCTCAGGACGCGCTGACACCACGTTGACAAACAGACGGCGTTACTGTGCATGTGCAAAATAAGTTTGAACGCCAACTGCCGAGGACTATTGGACATAGGCGGCGGAACGA